TTCAACTTACTCAAGCAACAGAACCCATCTCTTTCGGGGGTTACACTTTCCCATCTTCAAGTCACGACGTCCAGATAGGGCTGAACTTGCCTTCTCTGGGGTCGAGGGCAAGGACTCAAACCTAGCCAGGGGACGTGTTTTTGTTTGTTTGTTTTATTGAGACAGAGGCTCACTCTGTTGCCCAGGCTGGAGCACAGTGGCACGATCTTGGCCCACTGCAGCCTCCACCTCCTGGGTTCAAGCAATTCTCTTGCCTCAGCCACCCAAGTAGCTAGGATTACAGGTGCATGCCACCATGGCTGGCTAATTTTTGTACTTTTAGTAGAGACAGGGTTTTACCAGGTTGGCCAGACTGGTCTTGAACTCCTGACCTCAAGTGATCCGCCCACCTTGGCCTCCCAGAGTGCTGGGATTACAGGCCTGAGCCACCCCACCCAACCCAGGGGATGTGTTTTATCTCCCTGGGCAGGATAGCTACAAATCTGGAAATGCTGACACCGATTATGCCTGCCCTATAATGAAACAGGGAGACAGACCCCTGGAGCTGGGCCTGATATTCCAGGCCAGGCCTTTTCAGTGACCTGAGCCAAATATTCCTGAGTCTTCTTCAGCCACCTGGACTTGGGCTTTGGCTCCTCCCTCCCAGTTCATCCATCCCTATTTGTGCCGCTGCAGCCTGCCCTGCTTTCTCACTTTGCACTTGCCATTCCCACAGCCTGGAAGCCCCTTCCCAGCAAACTCTTTCCCATTCCCCTGAGTTCAGATCCCACCTCGTCCTGAAAGCCTGGACAGATATGGGTCCTGATTCCCTCAGACACACATCCCATTTCTTTTCCCACATTCCCATCACACTTTGTTGGTTTCTTTGGGAAACTTTCACTCGCTAGGTCCTAGCAGCCTAAAAGATTTTGTCAAGCTTTCTTTGCCATTGTCCTATTAGGAAAATAGGATTTTTTCCCCCTACTCTCCAATAAAAAAATGATGTTTTAACTGTTAACATAAGTTTTCAATCAATGCCTGCCCTTACCCCAGACATTCTGAAATACTTCCCTGGAGAGGTATCTTTCCTACCCTTGACTGAAAATCTGCTGCAAAACATCCCTCATTGATTCGGTAAATATCCACACAGCCCCCTCGGTAGAAGACGTCACACTGAGCAATGGACAGACAAATTATAAAACTGTATTATAATTGCCCCTTCATCTGTACAAGCTAGGAGATTGCAGGGAAGGATCCTGCCAAACTGTTTAATCAGCATTACTCTGGAAGCTGACATCAGAGGGATGGAAGGGGGACTTTTCCTTGGTACTTTATATCATTTCAAAGGGACAGCATTTATGAGTGGTTTTTACTCTCTTTCCTGGGCTTCTTAGTATCTTTCAAGTGGAACATTTCTTAGTGGCTCACTGATGTGCTTGCTCTACTGCAGGACGGGGAGCCCCTCAGGGGCAAGGATGGCTGTGACTCACTCCTAAGTCTTCAGCTTCCTGCCATGGCCTGACACACAGGAGGCCAGGAAATGTTTGTGGAATGACTTCAGGATCAGAGCTTAGCAGGCATGAGAAGTGGACTAGGGGGTGGAGGGCATGAGATGCAGCCCGGGAGAGCCATCCAAGCCTAGGAGCCAGGGAAGGCTGGAGCAGTGGGTAGGTAAGTCAGGAAGAGCTGGTCCCTCTGAAGCCTAGGCCCGGCATGGTGCCCATAGGAGGTGCCATTGTAGAAATGATGTCAAAGGGCAACTCAGTTTGTGAGAAGGAATTCCCAGAAAACAAACTTGGCCCAGCTTCACACTTGTTGAGGACAGAAAGGGAAAGATCCCAGCTGAGGGGAGCTGGGGAAGGAGGAGTGAGAGGAAAGGAGGAGGGGTTTAAGGAGACCTTGACAATCAGGGCCTGGGCTGGACGGCAGGTGGTAGAGGCTCAGCGTGCTGCTGCTGGGTCCCTGGGGAGCTGGGGGAGGTGGCTCTAGGAGTGCATAGGCAAGAACGTCTGCTGCTTACAGAGGTGGTGGCCTGGCTGGGTCTGTGCTAGGCTGCCCTGTTCCGCCTTCTATCCTCTAGTCTTTGTTCCTTCAACTGATATTTCCTCGGACAGATTCAGGCACAGCTGGAGGGAGGGCAGTCATCATGACTTCCCAGAGGTGTGGACTCCTGGGCTGGGGCTTAGATGAAGAGGAACTGTCCAGGTAAAGGAAGGGAGCAGACTTCCACAGAAAAGAGAGAACAAGAGCAGGGCCACTGAGATGTGAAACAGCCTAGCCCCAGTGAAGAGCCCCAAGCCCTTGGCGTTGCTCAGTAAAGGGGTGTCTATGCTACGAGGCAAATGGAACACCTGCTGCTGGAGTCTCTGGTGGCCGGGGTGGGAGGGGCTAGAAACCATGTTCCGTGAAGGACAGCTAAAAGCAGCAGCCGCGGATCATGTGGTTAGAGCCCTGGACTTCCAGGCCGGCTCTGCCACTCCTGCTCACATTATAATCTGGGGCAGGTCACTTTGCCCCTTGGAGCCTCAGCTGTGGGGAGTATTCATGGGTGCAAAGAGGCCATCACTGGCATGGTGCTTGGAACAAAGGTGGCACCCAACAGACTAAGTTACTGTTACTTGGAGAGTCAGGTATTGAAAGGCTACGTTTGGGCCGGGCACCGTGGCTCATGCCTGTAATCCCAGCACTTTGAGAAGTCAAGGCGGGCAGATCGCTTGAGCTCAGGAGTTTAAGACCAGCCTGGGCAACATGGCAAAACCCTGTCTCTACAAAAAAAATATGTATATATAAAAAAATCAGTTGGGCATGGTGGCATGCACTTGTAGTCCCAACTACTCAGGAGGCTGAGGTGGGAGGATTACTTGAGCCCAAAGAGGATGAGGCTGCAGTGAGCCATAATCACATCACTGCACTCCAGCCTGGGCAACAAAGCAAGACCTCATCTCATTAAAAAAAAAAAAAGGCTACATCTACAAGAGCCATCACGGAGCCGTGGGCCCAGTTTACAGAGTGTCTCCAAAGAACCAGGCCCAGTGGAAGGAAGTTCTAAGGAGGCAGGTATCAGCTCAGCTTTAAGGAAAGTCCCAAATGGAAGCATTGGTCAAGAATGGAACAGGCCATTATTGGGGTGAACCGTATCAAGGGAACAGCCTCACCAGGGCTGGACAGCTCCCTGCATGGACAGCATCTATATCTAGGGTTCTGTGGAAGCAGTTGGATGGAGTAAGAGAAAAGCCTTTTGTGGAGCACTCACTGAGGGAAATGCTAGGCTAAGGGAAGTTTAACAGGTGGCTTTGCTGTAGGGCTTCCTAGGACCTTCACTGCCCTGAAACGTGGCCACAACTCTAAGGCTTGTGGAAACCAGACAGACAACATGAATGGGTGACGTGGGAAGGGGTGGACAGGAGTGGGCTGGAGACAGCTGCCCTTCGGAAGAGGAAGCCTACTCAGCTCCCACTCTGCTCCCCTGGCTGTCCTTATGGGAACTCTATTGGCCACTGTTAGGGGTTAAATTGTGTCCCCAAAAAGATATGTGGAAGTCTTCACTCCTGGTGCCTGTAAATGTGACTTTATTTGGAAATAGGGTTGCAGATGTAACCAAGCTAAAATGAGGTCATCGGAGTGGGCCCTAAACTAATGACTAGTGTCCCTACAAGAAAGAAAAATTTGAATACAGAGACAGGTGCACAGAGAGAAGATGGCCATGTGACAACAGAGGAGGCAGAGATCAGAGTCAGCCATCTACTAAGCTACGGAACACCAAGGATTGACAGCATCATCGGAAGCCAGAAGAGTCAAGGATGGATTCTCCCTGGAAGCCTTCAGAGAGAGCATGGCCCTGCCGACACTTTGAGTTTGGACTTGTGGTTGGAGACAATGTTTCTGTTGTCTTAAGCCACCCAGTTGGTGGTATTACATTATGGCAGCCCTAGGAAACTGAGACAGCCACTAATTCATGATTAACTATGGACTAGCAAAAGCTCCAGAGTCGGGCAGGTGATGCAGAACCTCCTAACTCATAGATCACAGGCCCCTTTTTTGGAAAGAGCATCTTGTTGGATGAGCCAGGGGACACGATGAGGGTAGGGCACTCATTCTTATTCTCAGCCTTTTGTTTTGTATCCACATGGTACCATTCACGGGAGTGACTCCTGGTTTCCTTACCTGTAAGTTGAGGACAACAATCTCAACCTCCCAGGAGGCTGTGAACTCCCAGCGAGATGCATAGCAAGCACTGCCCCCAACACACCACCAGAGGAAGGATTATGATGTGGGATATTCCTTTCTGTGAGCCTCACTTTACCCTACTGTAAGATGGGATAGCAACATCTCCCAAAGCTTCCTAGTGTTGCTAGGAACTGCCTGGCATGTGGCTGGTGGTCAGAACAGTCCATGTGGACCAGTCAGCCCCTTCCCGCACACTCACTGTTTCTGCATGTCCTTCGCTGCAGGGAGCCTGGTCCCCAGTGGCTGCCCTTACCTGTGCTGTGAGCTGGATGGGTTGGGACAAGGTGAGCTGTGGGGTCCCAGGGGGCTGGCTGGCTGGCTGTGGTGGTGGCAGGTCACCCCCCCCAGAGGAAGCTGGAGGCTGCGAGGTCGAGGAGGAGGCAGAGGAGGAGGAGGAGGAGGAAGTAGAGGAGGCGGAGGCGGAGGCGGCGGCGGCGGCAGCGGCGTTAGCAGCAGCGGCGGCACTGGACTGCTGCACGGCGGCGGCCAGGAGCTGGGCCTGGGCTTGCTGCAGGAGGAGCTGCTGCTGAGCTGGCATCAGTGCCGTGAGCTGTGGGGTGTCGGGGACAGCAGGAGTCGGAGCAGGGGGTTGAAGAGGAGCAGAGAAGGCAGAGAGGGGTTAGTGCCTAAGCCAAGCAAGTAAGGGGACAAGACCTCCTGGAGGACAGAAGAGGGCAAGAGGCAGGCGTGAGAGAGTGGCTATGGCCTTGGTGGAACAGTTCATCCACTAGCCCTATAACAGATGAGGGGTGGCTGGTTTGTCCCCTCGTCCCCATCCTTCCCTGAGTACTTACCCCAGCTAGCTGGCTGCCCGTCAACATGAGTTGGGCCTGGGGCAAATGAGGCTGGGTCGGCTGCGGGGGCAGGGGTGCTGCTGGGGCTGAATCGCCACTGGGGTCTTCAGCCTTGATCTGGGGGGGAGAGAGGCAGGGTCCGGGACCCCAGAATGTTAAGTGGAGGCCAGAGAGAATGCCCACCTGTGAACCAAAGAGAGGGCACATGTGTGGCAATGGCAATCAGGCTGGCACAGGAGGAGCAGACTGGGGTGTGGATATGAGGGTGTGGCCTGTGGTCCTGCACTGACCGCTGGGAGCTTCAAACCACTCCTCTGGCCTCAGTTTCCTCATCAATCAGATAGGGCTAACACAACACCTGCACCCAAACTCCCTACAGGAGAAGTCCCCTTTGCAGAGCGCTTTTCCACTCCTGAGAGTCAGTTTCCCTGTCTGTAAAATGGAAAATAGTGGCCGGGCATGGTGGCTCACACCTGTAACCTTAGCACTTTGGGAGGTCGAGGTGGGTAGATCACTTAAGGTCAGGAGTTCAAAACCAGCCTGGCCAACATGGTGAAACCCCATCTCTAAAAAAAAAAATAGAAAAAAAGGAAAATAGTCCCACTGGGCACCTGGGAGGTCAAATAAGCGGGTTCTGGGTCCTACACCCTTCATCTGTATCACACAGAGGTGCATCTCTCTTGCTTTTCTTTTCCTTTTTTTTTTTTTGAGACAAGATCTTGGTCTGTTGCCCAAGCTGGAGTGCAGTGGCATGATCACAGCTCACTGCAGCTTCTACCTCCCAGGTTCAAGCAATCCTCCCACCTCAGCCTCCCGAGTAGCTGAGACTACAGTTGCCCTCCACCATACCTGGCTAATTTTTAAATTTTTCTGTAGAGACAGGGTATCATTATGTTGCCCAGGCTGGTCTTGAACTCCTAGGCTCAAGCGATCCTCCTGCCTTGGCCTCCCAAAATGTTGGGATAACAGGCATAAGCCACTGCACCTAGCCAGGTGCATCTCTTATTTGTCCAATGAAGTAAGACTTTGTTGGAAGAAAAGGTTTTTGGGTATAAGAAAAACCACCACCTTGGAATCTGGGCTACAAACTCAGAAGCTCACAGAAATGAGCACAAATGAATGACAGGAGTAGGGGTGGATGGAGGTGGGCTAGAGAGAGTGCCTGCCTCAGTGGAAGTCTTATCTGGCTCCTACTCAGCTCCTGCTGGCCACTCTTTTCAAAATCTAGAATAAAAATACTGGCAGAATAAGCAAAGCACAGCGTTTGTCCTGCACTGTGGACAAGCCAGATGTCGCCCAGGAAATGCCAGGCTTCAGCCTCCGCCCCTGAGGTCCGCAAAGCCTCTCCATGTCTCTCTGAATATGATATGGACACATCTGCACCATACACACAGAACAGACCACCAGCATGGAGCCACCCTGGCCTCTTCCGCTCCTAGGTAAAAAGCCAGACAACAGCAGCTGTTGGCCGAAAGGCCTATTGGCTGAAGCACACACAGTGGTGGGAGAAGGCATGGCCTGATGGATTACATACCCTCAGGCCTAAAGTGGACAGTGGGATCATCCTTCAGCCTGATAGCCCAACACCATTTTGTAAAAGGAAGCCCAGAGAGGGAAAGCAACTTGGGCAAAATGACACAGCGTGTTGGCAGGGGGGTGATATTTGAAATGGGGACACAGAGGCCAAGGAAAGGCCAAATAATAGACAGTGAATGGCATGTCCCAAATTATGGAATATAAGCATTAGAAAGTTTAAGAGCTACAGAGGCCAAGTGTGGTGTAATCCCAGCATTTTGGAAAGCCGAGGCAGGAGGATTGCTTGAGGCCAGGAGTTTGAGACTAGCCTGGGCAACAGAGCAAGACACTGTCTCTTAAAAAAAAAAGAGAGAGAGAGAGAGGTTAAAAAAAAAAGAAAAGAAAAAGAAAGTGCTGTAGAGATGCAGCATGAAATGACACTGAGTATGAGAAGTCAGGGTAGTGGCTATCCCTGGCAAGGGTATTAAGGGCCTCTGGAAGGTTGGTCGTGCTCTGCTTCTTGATCTGGTGCTAGTGACATGGGTGTGCTAAGTTTCTGAAAGTTCGCAGAGTCATACATTGAAGATCTATGTGTGTTTTTAATGTGTATCATATTTTAATACAAAGTTTTTTAAAAAACAGGCTGAGCATGGTGGCTCACCCCTTAATCCCAGCACTTTAGGAGGCTGAGGCGGGAGCGTCACTTGAGGTCAGGAGTTCAAGACCAGCCTGGCCAACATGGTGAAACCCTGTCTCTACTGAAAGTACAAAAATTAGCCAGGCATGGTGGCACACACCTGTAATCCCAGTAACTCGGGAGGCTGAGGCAAGAGAATCACTTGAACCCGGGAAGTGGAGGTGCAGTGAGCCGAGATTGCGCCACTGCATTCCAGCCTGGGCAACAGAGCGAGACTCCGACTCAAAAATCGCTTGAACCCAGGAGGCGGAGGTTGCAGTGAGCCGAGATCATGCCATTGCACTCCAGCCTGAGCGACACTGCGAGACTCCATCTCAAAAAAAAAAAAAAAGCTTTTTAAAAATAATGTTGAATGCCATGGTAAGTACACTATTCCCTTTTCAGTGCTTTTTCATTGTTTCTGGTTATCTTACAGTCTCTGACTAGTGCTTGAATGTCTTTACCATCTGTCCAATACTAGCTAATCTCCACTTTTATTTTAATTTAATTTTTTTTCAGACAGGGTCTGGCTGTGTCACCCAAGCTGGAGTGCACTGGCACCATCATGGCTCACTGCAGCCTCGACTTCCCAGACTCAAGCGATCCTCCTGCCTCAGTCTCAAGTAGCTGGGACTACAGGTGTGCACACCCAGCTAATTTTTGTATTTTCTGTAGAGACAGGGTCTCACTATGTTGACCAGGCTGGTCTTGAGAACTCCTGAGCTCAAGCAGTCTACCCACCTTGGCCTCCCAAAGTGTTAGGACTACAGGCTTGAGCCACTGCACCTGGCCTAATCACCGTTTTTTTTTTTTTTTCTTTTTGAGCTGGAGTCTCCCTCTGTTGCCCAGGCTGGAGTGCAGTGGTGCGATCTCGGCTCACTGCAACCTCTACCTCCTGGGCACAAGCAATTCTCCAAAATGCCTCAGCCTCCCAAGTAGCTGGGATTACGGGCACTCACCACCATGCCCAGCTAATTTTTGTATTTTTAGTAGAGTTGAAGTTTCATCATGTTGGCCAGGCTGGTCTCAAGCTCCTGACCTCAGTCCGCCTGCTTTGTCTCCCAAAGTGTTGGGAATACAGGCATGAGCCACCGTACCCAGCCCTAATCTCCTCTTTTAATAAGCAGAGAACAGGCCTCTGAGGTTTAGACCCTTCGGCACACAAGAGACTCTGGGTAAATTTTAATAATCATCGTATTTATTTCCGTGGCAAGTGATTCTGGTTTTCCATTTGTGAAATTTCCATTTAAAAAACATTTATTTAAAAAGCTGTTGAAAAGCAAGCCAGTTCATGAGCTGGTAATTGTTGAAGCTGATTGATGGCTATCTAGGAGGTTTATTTTCATTATACCCTTCTCCCTATTTCTGTATCCACTTCACATTTTCCATAATAAGGTGTTTTTTTAAAAAATCGAGCCAATTAACAAAATTATATGTAAATAGTTGCACACAGTGGTCTTATGCCTGAGACCGTGACAGGAGCACATGAATCACTTCAGTTAGGGAAAGACTGAGACAGAAGAGATGGAGAGAAGCTGAGCGGCAAAGGCCAGAGAAACAGGGCGAGTTGTGGACAGAGCCCAAGGCCAGGAAGGGGAGGGAGAAACCTTCTTTCCCTTGGTCCCACTGGCATCCCCAAAAGAAGAAAGCCTGCTGCCAGTCTGAGAACAGAGTGGAAATATCTGATTCAACTGAGGACAGGGTGGGGGCAATGGATAGACGCTGTGCTCTGAGGGCTAAGGCAAGAGCCAAACCTGCCATCAGAGGGTCAAGGAGGTCAAGATCGAGAGCCCGTCTCCACTGGATGCCGTTCAAAGTGCTCAGCACAGAAGCAGGACACCCATTCACAAAGCACTTTTGTCCTCCCCTCTCACGGTGGCAGGGGGGTACACCAGACATGGAGGCAACCACAGAGGCCATCCCATCCGACTGCCCCCTCCCCCCTGACCAATGATACCGAAGAGGAAACTGAGAGGCCCAGAGAGGGGAAGTGACTTTCCCATGGTCACAGAGCAAAGCTGTAGCAGGGTGGGGAGCAGTTCCCAGCCTCCCACCCCATCCCTCAGCCACCGCTGGTCAGGGTCTGGAGTCTTGCTCACACCTTCTCTGCCCCCACATCCAGTGCTACCTTCAAGCCTCTGGACCTGCCTGATACCCCTGGACCAGGATGGAGGGTGGAGCCCGGGGCCCAAGCAAACCCCAAGAAGCCCAGAATGCCAGGCACAGGGCCCCATCTGGATGTGGAATTTGCACTGCCTGGCTGCTTCCGGCCTCCCTGTCATTCTCTCCTCCTGCATCCCTACAGCTATCCTCAACTGGTGCCAGCCCCCCACCCCCACCTCAGCTGGCCACTAAATGTGTATATTGGGGGACAGGGGGTGGTGCAGGCCCCTGTTGGGTCAGGGAAGTTGGGATGGGGGCGGGCCTTTGGCTTCCTGTTGTTCATCGCCCTGGGGCTCTGGGGGGGATTTCCCTGGCCACCCCCACCCCCTAGGGAAGGGGAAGGAGCCTGCGTGAGTCACAGGCCTGGGGTGGGAGCCCAAGAGTGAGAAGGGGCGGGAGGAACCTCGTTACCAAGGTACCAAGGCTCAGTGCTCTCTCAGCCCTGGGACTGAGGCAGGCCTCCTGAGGACCCTCTTCCAAGCGCTGCCCGCTTCCCTGGCTGTTCCGACAGGTGCTTACCTTTGTGCTGGGGCCAGTTGGGGACACAGAGAATGGGGAGGTCTTATTCTGGGGGTTCTGCAAAGAGAAAGTAGGGGCAAGGGGATGGGAATAGTGCAGTGAAGCAGCTTCTGACCACCCCAGCTCCCTGTCCTCCTACCACAGGTGGCACGCAGCCCCCTCTGACCCCTCTCCCCATTCCTCCCCATCCCCTCCCACTTATCCACTCCCTCCTAACCTGATGATTAGTGTCTGGTCCATTTCTTTCAGTGTCTGCAAAGAGAGGGAAAGGATGTGCTGTCATCAGCCACCCCCACCACACCTATCCCCTCCCAGCCCTCTTCCCATCTGCCCCACTTCCCCTGCCCATGGTGACCCCTGCCCCCCTGCTCCCTGCCCACCCACCTGTGTGCTCTGATGGGGAGTCCAGACCTTGCTTCTCGGCCTCCAGGGGCTTAGACATTCTTATTTCTGGGGACAGAGGAGGAATGGAAGTGGGGTGAAGGAGGGGAAGCCAGGAGGGCTCTCGGGCCCCCGTTCCACCACACTCCCCGAGCCTTTCCCCCAAATTCCCCCCTTACCCCCAGCCACCTTGGAAGTGTCTCTTCCCAAGAGACATGTCCTCCGTTCTGGGCCTCTGCCCTCCTCTGGCAAGATGAGACACAGCCCTCAAGCCTTGGGGGATCTGGCCTTATCCTTTCACTCCTCCAGAAAGTGACAGAGGGGTGTTATCCACAGTGCAGCATAGGGCAAGGCAGGAGGTGGAAGGTGGTCGTGAGAAGGTATCAGCTGCCCAGGAGGAGGCTGGTGACGTCCCAAAGGAGGGAGAGCAGCCTTGGGCCTCCTCCTGCGGCGGGCCGCCCAGGCTCCCGTCCTGCCCTACCAGGTTTCGGGTGAGACATGTTTTCCACTCTGAGTGGGGCCTCAGAGATGTGATGGGGCTGCAGCGTCCCCAAAGGAGGCAGTTGTCAGATCTCTGAGTGTGTGTGATTCAGCCACCCTCTGGCCCTCTCCCCACCCCACCACTTTCCCCGTCCACATCTCACTCCCACCTGGCCTTTCTTCTTATGTTTAAGCACACCCGCCTAGCAGATCCACCCTGATCCTCTGTAACCCCAGCCCCATTCAGCTCTACCCCTGAGCTTGTCCTCCAATCGAAACCTGATCTGGGACTTCAGGCTTGAACCCTCAAGCCTTAAGTCCACCCCTGTAATACAACCCCATTCTATAGCTCCCTAGGCCCAGGAAATGAAAGGAGGCAGCCAAGGGAGGGTGGCAGGCAGCAAGCTGGGCACCAGGAGACATAAACCCACGTAGACAAATGCCTGTCCTCAAAATGCTCCGATACTTTTCACAGAAAGGCGAGTGCTCACCAGTGCCAAGCACAGAGCTAGATATGACTCACAGCTCACATTAGTGGTTAGTGCTAATATTACCATGTTTTACAGAGGAGGAAACTGAGGCTCCAAGAAAGGATGTCACCTCCCCAAAAGCACGGCAAGACAGTAGACATGCCCTGACTGGACCCCTGGTCTTCATGACTCCAGGGCTCCTACTTGTAATCAGATCCACTGTAGTCTAATGGCCCCAGTCCTGACTTCCAGCCATCTCATCTCCAACAGTCCCCTCGCCCAAGCTCATCCTGAAACTGAATGCAACCCTTCCTGGTCCTCGACCCCAGGACAAATCTGGGCTTCAGCCTGACCCATCCTTAGTCCACTTACTCACCTTGAATCCCAAGTTGTGCCCAGATGGTTCAAGTCCTTCATCTGACCTTGATTCCCAACTGTACTGAGACCCTGTCCCTGATCCAAACTCTTCCCACAACTCACTCCAAAATCCCTACCTAAACCATGACCCCACCCCTACTAAAGGAGCTGTCCAGCTCTAGTGTGCTCTGCACCAAGATACTTAAAGAAGACAGCTAGGCCAGGCACAGTGGTTCACGCCTGCAATCCCAGCACTTTGGGAGACTGAGGTGGCCAGACCTCTTGAGCCCAGGCGTTCAAGATCAGCCTAGGCAACATGGAGAAACCCCATCTCTACTAAAAATACAAAAATTAGCTGGGCACGGTGGGATGCACCTGTAGTCCCAGCTACTGGGGAGGCTGAGGCAGGAGAATTGCTTGAACCCAGGAGGTGAAGGCTACAGTGAGCTGTGACTGTACCACTGCACTCCAGCGTAGGTGACAGAGTGAGACCCTGTCTCAAAAAAAAAAAAAAAAAAAAAAAGAATGGAGCTAAAGTGAGGGATAGGAAATAGGAAGAACTCAGCAACTGCAAAAAAAAAAAAAAAAAAAAAGTCTAGAAATCTTGCAATTGAGGATTATTCAATGTGAAATGCTGCTTGAGTTTTAAATTCCTAATTAAAAAGACAGGTCGTGCATTGCTGGTAGGAGTGTAAATCGATACAAGCTCCATTCAGAAAAGTTGAAAAGATGCCCTCTCCCTAAGATGCAGCACGTCCACTCCTGGACATCTGCCCAAAAGAAACACGTGTCCTGCCCATCAAAGGACATAGGCAGAAATGCTTCTGCAGTCTTTTCATAACAGCCCCAAACTGGAAACAGCCCAAGGGGCCATCAACAGGTGAATGGATAAACAAAATGTGGTATGTCCATACAATGAAATACGCCACAGTAATGAAAAAGAACAAACTCCTGCTTCATACACATGGCCGAAGCTTGGAGACATGAGGCTGAATGAAAGATGCCAAACACAAAGGCAGACGTAATTTATGATTCCAATTACAGGAAATTCAAAAACAGGCAAGCTGATAGCAGATGATCACGGTCAGATGAGTGAGCACCTTGGGGGTACTGACTGGGAAAGGGCATGAGCCTGCAGCAGGTGAGAAAGGATCTTGTTTGGTGGTTACAGGGTCCTTACATATGCAAAAATTCATCAAGCTGTACACTTAAAATTTGAACACTTTACTCTATATACATTATGTTTTAACAGCAAGAAAACATTTAAAAGCTAAAAAGCAAAAAAGCCAGCACACAGTCCCATTAAATGCACACTGCACCAAGGCAGGTAGATAACTTGAGGCCAGGAGTCTGAGACCAGCCTGGGCAACATAGTGAAATCCCCGTCTCTCCAAAAAATAAAAAAGTTAGCCGGGCATGATGGTGGTGGGCACCTGCAGTCCCAGCTACTCAGTAGGCTAAGATGGGAAGATCGCTTGAGCCCAGGATGTTGAGGCTACAGGGAGCCGTGATTGCACCACTGCACTCCAGCTTGGATAACAGAGCGAGACTCTGTCTCAAAAAAAAAAAAAAAAAAAAAAGATGCAGACTGCTGAGGGTGGGGGTGGGGAGTGGGTGCCCAGGATGCTACCAGAGCTCAGGTCCTGTTTCCTGGCCCTGGGGACAGGGCATTAAATGGCTACTGATACAAGATATAAGAAGGACAAGAAGGGAGCTGGGCGGCAAATGTATCCTGACTCTGGAGCAGTAAAGGAGGGAATCCTGCCTGATCCTAGCTCTGATTCACCCAGACCTTAGCCCTACTTCAGACAACCACTAACTCTAACCTGGTCCTAAATCCCACCCCTGCTAGCATTCCTAAAACTGCAGCCCCAGCCTCCTCTGGCCCCCTTCCCTCAGGCGGAGCTCCACATTGCCTCAGGGCAATCCTTTCCTGGCTCCTCCCTATCTCCTGGAGAAACAACCAGGCTGATGGGCCTGGCCTCCAGGGGTTGGCCCACCACCCTGTACTGCTTTTCTCTTGCAGCTCATGCACCGTGCTCTTCAACCACGTTGAGCATCTCCCCCTGCTTGGGGGTTCTGCTTGACAGACAGCAGACTGTGCAGGTTCCACACTCCCAGCTAGCTGGGCATCCCTCTCCCACCCACAGATCAGGCCAGGCTCAGACCCCACTGCCAGCCCAGCAAGTCCACACTCATCCTTAGCCTCTGCTATGGGCTGAGTTGCATCTCCCAAAATTCATACACTGAAGTCCTAATTCCTGGTACCTCAGAATGTAATTGTATTTGGAGATAGGGTCTTTAAAGACACACTTAAGGTAAAATAAGGTCATTAGGGTGGACTTACTGAAATCTGACTGGCATCCTTTTAAGAAGAGGGGGCTGGGAGCAGTGGCTCATGCCTGTAATCCCAGCACTTTGGGAGGCCGAGGTGGGCAGATCACCAGTTCAGGAGTTCAAGACCAGCCTGACCAACATGGTGAAATCCTATCTCTACTAAAAATACAAAAATTAGCCAGGTGTGGTAGTGTGCACCTGTAATCCCAGCTACTCAGGAGGCTGAGGTAGGAGAATCGCTTGAGCCCGGGAGGCGGAGGTGGCAGGTGGCAGTTAGCCGAGATCGCACCACTGCACTACAGCCTGAGTGGCAAAGCAAGACTCCGTCTCAAAAAAAAAAAAAAAAAAAAAAAAGAATAGAAAAAAGAAGAAGAAGAAGAAGAAGAAGAGGGAATTAGGTCACAGATGGGAACAGAGGGAAGACCATATGAAGACCCAGGAGAAGACTAGCTGACCACAAGCCAAGAAGAGAGGCCTTGGAAGAGGCCAACCCTGCTGATATCCTCTCCTCTTCTCTAACTTACAGCCTCCATAATTGTGAGAATGAATTTCTCTTATTTCAGTCACCTAGTCTGTGGTACTTTGCTGTGGAAGCCCTAGCAAACTAAGACAGCCTCTCACAGCCCCTGCCCTCCTGCTGTCCCATCCCTGAGCCCCCAGCTGTGACCGTCTGTGTCCAGGTTCCTTCCCCACAAGACCAAGGCAACAGGCCTGGTCTGACTCATCACTGGGTCCCCAGCATCACAAGCCCAGAACGGGTTGTAACTGTTTGCTGAATGTCCCTCTCTGCAGCAGTCTCTGTCTCCTACTACTCCCCATCCCTGTCCTACTGTCTCCCTGCTATTTATTTTATTGTATTTATTTTTTAAGACAAGAGTCTTGCTCTGTCAGCCAGGCTGGAACGCAGTGGCACAATTACGGCTCACTGCAGCCTCGACCTACTGGGGTCAAGCTATCCTCCTGCCTCAGCCTCCTGAGTAGCTGGGACCACAGGTGTGCACCACCACATCCAGTTAATTAAAAAAATTTTTTTTTTTTTTTTTTGTAGAGATGGGTCTCTATGTTGTCCAGGCTGGTCTCAGACTCCTGGGCTCAAATGATCTTCCTGCCATGTCCTCCCAAAGTGCTGGGATTACAGGTGTGAGGCACCAAGCCGCACTCTGCCATTTAAAACATTTCCTGAGGCCTTGGCATGGGCTGTTCCCTCTGCCTGGAACACTGTTCCCCAATCTGTCTACATGGTGACCCCCAACTCATCCTTCAGAACCCAGCATAAGCTCTGTTTTCTTTTCTTTCTTTTTTTTCTTTTTTTTTTTTTGAGATAGAGTCTCACTGTGCTGCCCAGGCTGAAGTGCAGTGGTGCGATCTCGGCTCACTGCAAGCTCCGGAGGTCTCCCGGGTTCAAGCAGTTCCCTGCCTCAGCCTCCCAAGTAGCTGGGATTACAGGTGTGTGCCACCACGACCAGCTAATTTTTGTATATTTAGTAGAGAAGGGGTTTCACTGTGTTAGCCAGGATGTTCTCAATCTCCTGACCTCATGATCCGCCCGCCTCAGCCTCCCAAAGTGCTGGGATTACAGGCGTGAGCCACTGCGCCCGGCCATAAGCTCTGTTTTCTATGAAACAACCACCTTGATGCCTCCAGCTACCAGCCAGGTCTCTCTCCAGCTCCCCCTACCCTAGCACCTCCCCTTGTCACTGTCTTAGACGCTGACTGTAGCTAGCCGGGCCCCAGTATGTCTCCCCTATCAGACCGGGAATTTTTCAAGGGCAGGTCTGATCTCAGCTTCTTAAACACTGCCCAGCAGAAGACATGTGGATCAGTGGCCCCAAGGTCCTGATCTCCCTCCCCCAGGCCTTTGCCTCTGCTCCTCTCCCACTTGGTTGACCCTTTCCTTCTCTACTGGCAAACTCTTGCTCCTCTTGAAGGTCCAGCTCACATGTCACCTCCTCTGTGAAGTACTCCCTGATTCCCCAGATGGTCAGTGTCTGTCTCCTCTGGGCTTCACTGCCCCTGTACTGTTCTCCATCACATCCTGATCATCCCGGGCAGAGACCTCCACCCCAACTGTCGGCTCCACAGGAGCCCAGGCTGGAGTCATTGCTGCACAGGCCTAGGAGTATGTCTTTGGAATGAATGAATGCATTAAAGAATCCCCTAACTGACCAGGGCCCAATCCTGTCTAAAACAAACCCCTATTGCTACTGTCACCCAACATCCCCAAGAAATCTTAACTTAAATCTTTAAGGTAAGATTTCCTCTGCAGGGACAGTGGCTGGAAAGACAAGAATGGTTTGAGGGAAAATTTTTCACCATTCTGTTACCCTTATTCTCCCCAAATTCTTCCAACCACTCCTACATATCCCTGCATACCCCCTGCCCTACACTTGGTTGGGCCACAACAAAATGGCCAACTGCTACCCTTTGTCCTTTCTCTTTCTACCTCCCCTATCAGAGCTCAATCTGAGAGAAGGGTCAGATTATTTCCACCAGAAATGAACAGGGAGCTCCATCTCCACCGTGGACTAAAAGCCAAATGATGCCTTAACAGGGACTCCAGGGCACCAGCAACCATGGACTTGGAGGGTCCGTCAAATGGCTCAGCTTTAACCTCAGCCCAGACAGAGAAGCCCATTGCCTGTCACTCAACTCTACAGAAATACAGATGCCTGTTCCCACCCTAGACTCTCTGATTTCAGTGGTACAGGGTGTGACTTGGGCATCCAGATATTTAAAAGTCCCTCCAGGTGATTCTTTTTTTAGATGGAGTCTCACTGTTGCCCAGGCTGGAGTGCAATGGTATGATCTCGGCTCACTGCAACCTCTGCCTCCTGGGTTCAAGCGATTCTCTTGCCTCAGCCTCCTGAGTAGCTGCAATTACAGGCATGCACCACCATGCCTGGCTAATTTTTGTATTTTTAGTAGAGACAGAGTTTCGCCATGTTGGGCAGGCTGGTCTCAAACTCCTGACCTCAAGTGATCCGCCCACCTCGGCCTCCCAAACTGCTGGGATTACAGGCATAAGCCCCCTCCAGGTGATTCTAATGTGCTCCATCCCCTGGCACCTTCAGAAGCTCCTCTCAAAGCCTCATTCACACATAAAAAATTGGTTGGTTATGTATGGCCATTTCCACCCCTCATCATAGGTAATGTGTAATATTTTAAGGGAACTGGAAGAGAAAAAGCAATGCATAGCCCTACTAGGTCCCTTGGAGCCATGTTGCCCCTTGAATCCCACCTTCCTCAGGTCAGAGCCCCCCACCCTCCACAACTAGGGCTGCCCAGCCCTGAGCTCACACTCGCTTGCCCGACTGCCCCAGGCCTAGGACTCTGGGTCCTCTCCGCCCTCCCACTCCTCCCTCCCCGGACTTTCACTTCTCCTCTGCATTTCCCCCCGCCAGTTTTAGCAGACTTAGACCAGCTTCTCGTTAGCACTTACCGAAAATGGGGCTAAATATAGAGGACCCAAGGACTGCCCCTCACCCCTCCTGGCCCCACTTGTCCTGTCCCCTGGGTCCCCTGCCTCCGCAGCCCGCTTCAATTAAGGGTACGGCCTGGGAGCCCCTGTGGGCAGGTTGGTGCTGCCGGGAACCTCTGTGGGCCCAGCTGGCCGAGTCCCCGTCCTCCCCAGAAGCAGCACCTCACCCCTCCCCACCCCACAGCTGTCCCTGGGTGGCCTCAAGGGAGTGAACATTTCTGAGCTGTCAGGAGGGAGGGATGGAGATACGGGCAGCAGACACAACAAGAGAGGTGGCCCCACAGCTGCGCTGACAGCAGGCAAGAGCTGCCAACAGTACACACCCCATGGCCACAGCCAGGCAAGGCCCTGGCCAACACACTACAAGAAACTGATGTGCACAGATTCCAGACAGGAATGTGAACAGGTTTGCAGATACGACACATGCCCATACATGATGCCACGGGCATATATGCAAAACACACACCCAGATGTGTGTACACACATGCACTTACACACACTGTCACACTGAGTGACACACAGCCAGCCAGACACACACAAGAAGTACACAAAACTCACACACCCAGAGTCGAATACAGATAGACACACAGACACCCCCCTTATATACTATACCCAGTCACTCATAGACTCAGACATGTGTACGCACACATGTACTTACACACATGTACTTACACACGTTCTCACACCAAGTCACACCAGTCCAGCCAGAGGTACACACCCAGACATGCACATGTTCACACAGAGTCACACACACGCACACACACAAGTGCACACACATACACCCAGAGTCACCTCATCCTGGAAGATGGCCAGGGCTGACCTCTGAACCCAGTTCACAGGTGTGGAGTCTGAGAACAGGCAGGGTGAATGATCTGCCCACAGTCACACAGTGTATTAATTCATGTCCAGGCAGGGAAAATCCACCCCAGTCTTCCCAGGCAGGGCTGTTCTGTGAGAAATCCCAAGTAAAGAGTTTAGCCTACTGCTCAGCACCTCTGAGGTCCCCATTTAACACCAGAGAGGAATGAGTCAGTGGGAGCAGACACCCAGGATCTCTGTGTCTACACGGTATGGACACACATACATACACACAGTTGCATACACAGTCACCTCAACAAATAAACACATGTCACCCTGCAAATAGTCTTCTTTTCATCCCACCCCCCTCCTCACCGCCTTTGCTTGCTCATACCCACTCATCCTTCGTATCCCTGCTCAGACACCCTCTTCCTCCAGGAAGCTCTCCTTGATATTCCACCAACTAAATCACATGTTTTCAGGGCTCCTACAATCCCCTAATACCTCCCTGTCCTGGCCCAATCCCTCTACCTATGTTCCCCTATCCTGGCCCTGACCCCTCTGTGTGGGCCTCCCCCATACCAGCCCCAACCCCTCTACTGACATCCCCCCATCCCAGCCCTGATCCCTCTGCCTGAGCTTCCCCCACCCCAGTCCTGACCCCTCTACCTGGGCCTCCCCCACCCCAGCACCGACCCCTCTGTCTGGGCCTCCCTCAACCCAGCCCCAACCCCTCTTTGTCCCCCCATCCCACCCCTGACCCCTCTGCCTCTGCCCCCCACCCCAACCCTGACCCTTCTGCCTGAGCCTCCCCCACCCCAGCCCTGACCCCTCTGTCTGGACCTCCCCCATCCCAGCCCTGACCTGTCTGTGTTGTCATTGGTGACAGGTCTGTCTTCTCCAATAAACTGGGAGCTCCAGGCGAACAGACCTGAGCTACCCTTTCCACTGTATTTCCAACACCCAAGACAGAACTGCTCAATAGATACATGTTGGTGGAGGACACGGGGATACCCGCACACAATGGCACATATAGGACAGCACATACCACCAAACCAAGACTCACGCCCATGGTCATGCCTACACAGCCACAAATGAAACAGGCATGTAGGGCTGAGTGCTTGCCATGTTCCAGGCACTGTGCTAAGCATGCTACATGTATTATCTCATTTAAGACTCCCATCAACACTGCTGAGTAACAGCCATCACCACCTTGTACCGTGCCTGGCGCGCAATATTCACTCAGTCAACTGACATTTGGTGGAGAAGGCATTTAATAAGCACACAAACAAACACATAATGAAATTCCCAACAGTGATAAGTGCCGTGAAGAAAAGATAAAGCAGGGTGAGGGAACTGAGAGTGACAGGATCAGTGCCAATTTAGATGGGGAGGTCAGGGAAGGCTGCCCTGAGGAGGTGACGTCTGAGGTGAATGAGGTGAAGAAGTGAGCCAGGCGATTATCACCCCACAATGCCACACACAACAGCCCCCCACACTCACAAGCACAGAGCAGTCCCACTCAGAGCACTCAGAACTACTGCACACACACATGCACACACACACCCGTACCAGATGTGCACACACACACTCAAAAGGGAATGACATCCCCCAAGTCCAGCAACTTGGCATTCCAATCCCTTTGCAGCCCTTATCCAAGGATCGCCCATGTCACCCACCCCACTGGTTCTCCACATGAGGGCCCGCTACCAACACCCAGCTCCCTCCCTCCTGTCCCCAGACCCTTCCGAACAGGGCAACAGAGAAAAGAAGAGGTTGGAAGTTCCAGTGCCTGATGTGGAACGGGAGGGCAAAGAGGAGCTGTGGGGGTTGGAGGAGACCAGGCATGGGAGAGAGGGAGTTGCTAGAGTACAGAGAAGGACAATGGAGACAGCTGAGGAGGAGGGGCAGGGAGGGCCCGCAGAGCAAACCTAAATGTGCTGCCTGTCCTCTGAGCAGTGGCGCAGGCACCAGCCCCCTTACCTGGAGCCCCCATGCTGGAGTGAACCATGCTGCCCGCCCCGCCAGGGCTGGGGGAACAACTGTGTCATCTCCCCACCCTCTCTGGGGGCCGAGCCCTCCCTGCCGGAAGTCACTCAGGGAGGAAACCACAGGGCCGGTCCGCCCCCTTCGGAAGGGAAAATACCCTGGCCCACAGACCCGCCCCGGCAGCCTGGCCCACCCCAAATCATGTGTGTGTGTTGGGGGGTGGGGGCTAGTGGGGCAGAGGATAAGCAGGCTAGAAGAGCCGACTCCTACAGCTGCGATCCGGGAGGTGCCTGAAACTGTTGCCCCCGGCTTCTATCGCTCCCATGGAGGCAAACAAATCTGGGACAGGGAATGGGTCTGGGAGAGAAGGTGGGTCCACAATAGTAACAACATTAGAACACTAGCCAGCAGCTCACTGGAGACAGGGCTTTGCCGATGCCTGACCCTGTGCCTCACTTTTGACAGGTGCTATCTCCAATGAGGTGGTCACTGTTATTTGCTCCATTTTACAGATGAAAAGACTGAGGATCAGAGAGGTGAGCAGTAGCTTTCCCAAGGGCCCAGAGCCAAGAAGCGTTGAAGCTTAAAAGCACGCCACGGCAGGGAAGATCAAGCAAGCCCTGCGCCTATCTGCAGGTGAGCTGTTGGGTGTCACCATTGGGAGGAAGTGGTGCCCGTGGGCAGTGGTAGTGGGAATGGTGGATAGGGGACTTGGCCTGGAGCTACAATAAATCGCCGGCCAAATGCGGGCGCCCGAGGCGGCTCCGGTGGAGGGGAGCACCAGGTCCCCGGGCTGCCAGCTGGCTCTTCGCGCTGCGATGCTCCCAGGTCAGCGCTTCCCTCCGAGCCCGCCAGAGGGCGGCAGCGCCCAGCCAATGGCCCGGAGGGCGGGGCCGGCTGCGGAGGAGGGAACCCCTCCCTCCACTCCCCTCCCCAACACCCCCCCAACACCCCCGCGCGCACACCTGCGAGGGTCACACAAAGGCGCAGGACTCCCAGCGCACCGCAGCTCAGACAAAGGCGCGCCCGAGTCCGCTGCCCTCATCCTCCTCTTGGTCCTGAGGTCTGAGGCTGTGGGGCTGCCTGGCGTCTCCAGACACCCCACCTGCCCGCCTGGGCTCCGCAAGACATGCTGCGCGCCGTGGCTGGGGGAGCCCCTAAACCACAGGTGCATGCACAGACGCCTAGACTCACCCACCCACACACAAATATTTCTACAGATGGAGCACAGCACTTCACACACACACACGTACACACACAGACGTGCATGAACACATCTATGTGCACAGGCCCTAACACCAGCCCTCCCTGCTGACGATGGTCACTCCCATATACTGATACCCGCTCTACTCCCTCACATGGACCCATGGGCACAAGGGCACTTCTACACATATATGCCCAGGCATGCATCCTGGCCACTCGCACCCACTCACACACAGGCACACTCGGAAAGGGCATACTACAGGCAGAACTACAGGAGTGCCCTCCCCTGACTGCACACGTGCCCTGTGCACCCAGACACGCCCAGGCAGGCAGGTGGGCACAACAGGAAGGACTGGCAGTTCTCATATATGCACACGAGAGGGGACTGTTTCCAGGCATCTACAATCCACAACATCCCGTATTGTAAAGACCATTTCACAGAGGAGATCCACAGACCACACAGAAACTGGCCACAGGATTTCTATACATGAGGGTCTTCCCGACAGCAGCCTAATGGCGGTGGGTACTGGAGCCTTGTCTCAAAGCGACATTTACGCAGTAAGCTTTGTTTTCAGTTAGGATTTGTTTTGGGGGGCTTAGAAATGGGGCTATAGGACATTGTGGGGGGGGGCGGGCAAAACCTCACCAGCCACCCCTATGCTCCACCCTGGACAGATTCAACATCATCCATGTCAGGAGCACGGTTTTGGATGTGACCCCATTCCAGCCCCCTAGAGCCGGCAGAGAAGGACCACCCACTTCCAGTATGGCCAGGTCTGCAGTTCAGTCCTGGAGCCGGGGAAGGCTATATACGCTCCCTGAAAGATGAAACAACCCCATACCTCTCGCCTCCTATGCTGGCTCCATTCTCAGTGCCTCAGACCAGAGCTGGGCCTGGTGAGGGCATCCTGAAGGAGGATGGGCCTGCCTGAGAGAGGATAGAGGGACGGAGTTTGGAACACACTGGGTGGGTATAACCTGGCAGCTGGAACAGGGAGACTCAGGCAGGGGGAGATGGTGGCCTCATTGCCACAGAAGAGTCCTCAAGCCATGCTGAGCGAGGCAGGTAGGGCATGGGAGCTGGGAAGCAGTGGGGGCCACTTGAGGTGCAGGGAGCTAGGAGGGAGGCAGCACAGGGGAGGCCAGGCTGGGCTCAGGGCTGAGCGGTAATTAAAGGAGACGTAGGGGGCTCCCCAGGGCCAGCGGGGCTGGTAACTGACACGCGGGCCCCATTGCTCCGCTCATATTTCTCGCTGGATCGATACGTTTGACTCCCGACAAGACAATAATCGCTTGTACGCGGCCAGCGAGTCGATCAAATACATTATTAGAGCGAGGTCCCCCGGGGGCCCGGCGGGGAGTGGTGGTGGGGAGCAGCCAGCCCACCGGGGACAGCAGCGTGAGATTCTTCACCCCTCAGGGCCCCCCAGCCATGGCCTCTTCCTCTTGGCCACCCCTGGGGATCCTCTCTGTGGCTCAGTTCCCCAGCCTCTCTCTAAATGCCTGCTGCTTTGGCGATCTCTCTACTCAGCCCCCAGCATCATCCTTGCTCTGTGAGGGGACCCAAGGGTTCTTTTCCCATAGGCACTGCCCTCATCTGTAAGGCTATAGCATGTGGGAGCTCAGAGAGGCCCCTCAGACCCCTAGCTTGTCAGGAGACAGAGAGACCAAGCCTCAGGCCACACTCCGAGTCCATGGCTGGGCCAAGAGATGAACTTGGGCCCAAGACTCAATGACACCCACCTCCCTCTGCCCAGTCTCCTTGCTGCATCTAAGCACACAGGGCTTCAACAGCACCCAGGCCAGGGGCAACCTCTGGGGGTTAGGGAAAGCTAACTTAGAGACCCAAACAAGCAGGAAAACAGGATGACAGGGGTGGCAGACAAACACATACACAAAGAGATGTGTGTCTGCTCCTGCTGCAGGGCCATGTGGTCCCCCAGTGGGCCTCAGATACCCTCAAACCATGCCCAGCTTCAGCTCTGGCCCACCCTAGACACTGCTTGCCACTCTTGCCCACTTTCCTGGCTTCTGGACTCAAGCCTATTTCCCTTTCTTAAAAAAATTAAATTAAGCTTTAGCTTTATTTTTAAAGTCCAGGCTTTTTTTTCTTTTCTTTTTTTTTTTTTTTTGAGACGGAGTCTCGCTCTGTCGCCCAGGCTGGAGTGCAGTGGCCGGATCTCAGCTCACTGCAAGCTCCGCCTCCCGAGTTTACACCATTCTCCTTTCTCAGCTCCCGAGTAGCTGGGACTACAGGCGCCCGCCACCTTGCCCGGCTAGTTTTTTGTATTTTTTAGTAGAGGCGGGGTTTCACCGTGTTAGCCAGGATGGTCTCGATCTCCTGACCTCGTGATCTGCCCGTCTCGGCCTCCCAAAGTGCTGGGATTACAGGCTTGAGCCACCGCGCCCAGCTTTTTTTTTTTTTTTTTTTTTTGAGACAGAGTCTCACTCTGTTGCCCAGGCTAGAGTGCAATGGCACGATCCCAGATCACTGCAACCTCCACCTCCTGGGTTCAAGCAAGTCTCATGCCTCCTCAGCCTCCCGAGTAGCCGGGATTACATGTGCGCGCCACTAGGCCAAGCTAATTTTTGTATTTTTAGGAGAGATGGGGTTTTACCACATTGGCCAAACTGGTCTCAAACTCCTGAGATCATGTGATCCACCCACCTCGGCCTCCCAAAGTGGTGGGATTACAGACATGAGCCACCACGCCCAGCCTCAAGCCTATTTTCTGTTTACACACCTGCTTTGCCCTCTAGACCCGAAGAGTCCCTTTGCTTCTCCGGCAGCCCTAAGTCAAAGTCAAGTTCTGTTTAGGAATATCCAGCATTCCGAGACTTAAAATGTATCTTCCTCTTTGTCTTCATTAGGAGCAGCAGCCACCACAGCATTGCTGTCTATCCTTTCCTTTTTTTTTTTTTAGACTGTCTGGCTCTGTCACCCAGGCTGGGGCTGGAGTGCAGTGGCACAATCTCGGCTCACTGCAACCTCTGCCTCCCAGGCTCATGCCATCCTCCCACCTCAGCCTCCCAGATAGCTGGGACCACAGGCGTGCACCACCACAGCCAGCTAGTTTTATACTTTTAGTAGAGACATGGTTTTGCCATGTTGCCCAGGCTGGTCTCGGAACTCCTGGGCTCAAAGCCATCCACCCGCCTCAGCCTCCCAAAGTGCCAAGATTATAGTCGTGAGCCACTGCATCCGGCCTACTCTGTGCTATTTGAACCAATACATTACTTCTAAGTCTTTTTTTTTTTTTTTTTTTTTTTTTTTTTTTTTGAGACGGAGTCTCGCTCTGCCGCCCAGGCTGGAGTGCAGTGACTGGATCTCAGCTCACTGCAAGCTCCGCCTCCCGGGTTCACGCCATTCTCCTGCCTCAGCCTCCCGAATAGCTGGGACTACAGGCGCCCGCCACCTCGCCCGGCTAGTTTTTCGTATTTTTCAGTAGAGACGGGGTTTCACCGTGTTAGCCAGGATGGTCTCGATCTCCTGACCTCGCGATCCGCCCGTCTCGGCCTCCTAAAGTGCTGGGATTACAGGCTTGAGCCACCGCGCCCGGCCCTACTTCTAAGTCTTTATGACAGTCTGAGGAGGTAAGGTCTGCTATCATCCTCATTTTACTAACAAATTGAGCCTCAGAAAGGTGAAGTCTCCTGTCCCAAATCACACAGCGTGAGTGGTGGAGTCAGGATTTAAGCCCAGGTCTGTTTCCCTAACAGCTTGATCACTTTGTATTGAGCCATGGAGCTCCTTCTTGGAGGCGTGAAATGCTCCCCATCCTTCAGGAGACAACCGTAACAGTCAGCCACTCCTTGTCCAGTCAGCAATGCTGGAATACCTCTGCAGCTCACAGCCCAATGCCCACAGCCTTCAAGTCAGTTTCTTGAT